GGCATTTTCTTTCCCTGATTTTCTGAAAAGCATTTCTTTCCCTGATTTGAAAAGGTCATTTCTTTCCCTGATTTGAGTGAAAGGCATTTTCTTCCCTGATTTTGATGAAAGGCATTTTTTTTCTGATTTTGAGTGAAAGGGCATTTTCTTTCCTGATTTTGATGAAAGTGCATTTCTTTCCCTGATTTTGACCAATTTCTTTCCCTGATTTTGAGTGAAAGGCATTTTTCTTTCCCTGATTTTTAGTGAAAAGGCATTTTCTTTCCTGATTTTGATAGTGAAAGGCATTTTCTTTCCCTGATTTGAGTGAAAGGCATTTTCCTTCCCTGATTCAAGGCAATTTCTTTCCCTGATTTTGAGTGAAAGGGCATTTTCTTTCCCTGATTTTTAGTGAAAGGCATTTTCTTTCCCTGATTTTGAGTGAAAGGGCATTTTCTTTCCCTGATTTTGAGTTGAAAGATGCATTTTCTTTCCCTGATTTTGACTTGAAAGGCATTTCTTTCCCTTGTTTTGGAATGAGAAGGGCATTTTCTATTCACCTGATTAATTGAGTGAATATAAGGTCAATATTCTTCCTCACTGTATTGAGTGATAAAGGTGACATTTATTCTTATGCCCTGGATTTTATGAGGTGTGAATGATTGATTTTCTTATGATGAGGGGATTTTTTTTTATTTTTAGTTGATAAAAGGGCATTATTTCTTGTTCCTGATTTTGACTTTGAATAGAGGATCATTTTCATTTCCCTTGATTTGATAGTGAAATAGCATTTCTTTACCTGGTTTGAGTGAAAGTGCATTTTCTTTCCCTGATTTTATTTAGTGAAAGGCTTATCTTTCCCTGATTTTATGTTAAAAGCGGCATTTATCTTTCCCGATTTTTAGTGAAAGCGCATTCTTTCGTGATTTTTGATTATGAAGGGGCATTTTCTTTCCTTGATTTGAGGAATTAGAGCATTTTCTTTCCTGATTTGAGTGAAAGGCATTTTCTTGCTATCTGATTTGATGAAAAGGGTATTTCTTCCTGATTTGAGTGATATAGAGCATTTATTATATCTCCGTTGAATTTCGAGAGTTTGAAAGTGCATTTCTTTCCCTCATTTTGAGTGAAAAGGCATTTTTCTGTTTCTACTTGATTTTGAGTGAAAGGCATTTTCTTTCCCTGGATTATTGAGTGTAAAGGGCATTTTTCATTTCCACTGATTTTGAGTGAATAGGCAATTTATCCCCTATTATTTGTGTTAGTGAAACGTTCATTTTCTCTTTACTGGATTTGGAGTGAAAAGGGCATTTCTTTCCCTGATTTGACGTGAAAGGGCATTTTCCCCTGATTTTTAGTTGAAAGGCATTCCTTTCCCGGATTTTGAGTTGAAAGGGCATTTTCTTCCCTAGATTTTGAATGATGAAAGGGCATTTCCTTCCTTGATTTTGATGGAAAGGGCATTTTCTTGTGCCTCATGTTTTTGAGTGAAA